TTAACAGCCCGCCCCCCCATTGAAAACCCATAAACGAAATCAACTTTTACCCAAGCAACTTGCAAATTATTTTCGTGCCCCCCTCCCTGCCCACACCCCCTCCAACCACATCTCACCATGGACGTAAAGTGGGCGTGTTCTGTAAGCCAACGACGATTCGCCAATCTGGCAAACTACTCATGGCACTTAATGGCATATAAATTAGTTCCATATGGTAAAGAGGTCTGGGTTAGTTTCAGATGGATTATTGATCGCTTGACTTCAACCAGGGGAAGTACATATGCTGGAAACCAGTTAATTACCACGCGAGATGCTCTGTTTCCATGTATGTCTATCTTCATATCATATTCCGAATAACCAAGTCGAGTTTATTGATTAAAAAAAAACCTACGTTTAAATTTTATTTTTTTTTAATACTAATGTTTGGTTTAAGCTGTTATATATATAAGTTAAGTTTAAGGTTTTGAAATCTGAATTAAATATCTTATATCTATATCGTACGCAGAACAAGTTTTTCATTTTTGATAAATCCTGTCATAACCAAAATAATGATAAATAGTATTGCTATTTAGACATGGTTTTTTAAGCATAACTGGAAAATTAAGGAGCTAGATGCACCGATCTTCAAGTGTCAGCTTTCGTATAGTATATGCAGATGACGAGTATTCCACTCTATGGATACTAAATATTTTATTCCATTCCTCTTAAAATTGGAAACAAAACTCATTTTAACGGCTAGAGCTTTTGGTATATGCACACTTTTTAATGACATATTAAAGCCCTACAAATTTGATAAGAATCCGACTTTAAACACCGAACTTAAGAAAGAATATATTTTTCATAAATATATAGGAGGTGTCAAAGGGAAGAAGAATCACATGCGCTACATAAACTGCGCAGCTTGCGGTATGAGCGCGTGCTCGTGTGTATATTTGTATATAATATGTCTAGCTATCTATATAAAAAAGCTAGAATATTTGTAACGTCAGCTTGGCGCGGGGCTTAGACGACCTGCTAATCAGGCACTCTCGACTAGAGCACTTTACTTGATTATTGTACTAGAAGTAAAGGATTAAGTTACAAACTATCAACTAAACGCATTTGATAAACAGCACTGATATCTTTGACCTTCGGCTCAAACCTAGATGCCCGATAGAAATAAGATTTTGTTGCAGTTGTCTGTTGTCTAATGTTGTCAAAGTCCTAATCTAAGTATAAGACCCATTCAATTGTACCCATACAGCCGTAAATTACCATTTTCCGGCTGGGGAATACATTTTTCTAAAGTCTGTGAATTCTCAAGAGTCAGCTTCCTGTTACGGCCCGGGCTGTGCGTAGTCAGTTAGAGAAAACAATTATATACATATATATAGAGAGATAGGTAGGCTCAGTAAAAACTATTGTGCGCTACATTATCTCATTATAAAAATGTATAACATTTTTATTTCCATTTGCAGCATAAAGAAACATAAAATAAATAAATAATATTGAATTTTTTATATTGTTTAAGCTTAAGATAGACCTTATTATCACCATTTTAGTGTTAAGCATGACAACAAAGTTATGGAGCTCAGAAATTAGCACTAAACTCGAGACACGATCTATGTATTTTTTTGTCCAAGGCTGCAAACCGATTTAAGCTGAACCAGTTCAGATTCAGACTTGTTTACCAACAAAAACCTAGCTGGGTCAAATACTAAGCCAAAGCTCATTTTTTAAAAGCACAAATTTTTTAAATATTTGGTAGCTGCCAATATTGGGCAGCAATTAAATTAAGCGAAAGTTTAAAATTCTTTAAACTGCAATTTTGATCCCAAAATACATATCTTCTGCCTCAAGGGAGTATTAATAACAAATTTCTTAACATGTTTTACTTCCTTATGTTTTCTTAACTGAATAAGTATATTGAACTGTTTTATACAAATCTGGCTTCGAACCGGAAATTATTTGTTCTAACCGTGAACTGAACCAGCCCAATTTTGTTTTTTTTTTGGGTTTACAGCCTGTTTTTGTCTGCTGATCAGAATATTTTTTAAGAAGACCTCACATTTGCTGTTGGCTGGTATTACCCTCTCTTTCCCGGTAAAAGTATTTTGTTTCAAATTTTAGTCACCTATTTCCCATTTCCCGTGTTGAAACCCACGTCTCAAGTCATATTTTACATAGAAATGACATGAAAATAAGTTAGAATCCCATCGACTCAGGACCGAAAGTTAGAAACAACGTTTTCCGCCGAATTTCTACAGTTGCGGATTTAATTTCCAAAATCGCTGAGACACATAATTATTAAGTTCTAATGTAGGGTATTAGATATTTTAAATATTTAAATATTTTAAAATATCTTTGATCCACATCCTCTCCTCCTGGGTGGATTTTCGAAATGTGTGAAACTCCCCTCAAATGAATTTTCTTAAAGATCCGTGGAAATTAGTTCGAGTCCGAAATCTTTGAACCCGTTTTTCCACAAAGAAGAAGTTTGGGCTGTGCGTCAATCACCAGTCAGTTAATCAGAGAAGCGTCTTTCTGACTATTACATACATTTGCACAAAAATAGTATACCCGCTTTTACCTATTTGAAGTGGGCATAAGAAAAAGATGATTCCCATGTCAAATTTTGAAATAAAAAAAAATGACAAACGGCATTGAAATATGAAATACTACCGAGAGAATTGTCAAAAAGAGCGAAAATAATGTTGTGTAAGCGTGTGTGTGTGTGTGTGCTTATATATATATATATATGTGTGTATGTGTGTGTGTGTGAGTCAAGTAGCCGAACAACAGATGTGTGACGAATTTGTAAAGCTAGAAGAAATGTGAAACAATGAACTGTCAAGAGCCCAACTAGCAAAGAAACATAGCTAGAAATGTTGCTATCTCTTGATTACCTATTAGGGAGTACATTATTCATAACGGCACTTACTGAACCACCCGTTTAGCCGAAAGAACAAGTGAACCCCAAGTGTCCATAAATATGAACCACAACAATGTGAACTTTAACTACGAATGCAAAACAAAAGTTGTTAAGCCAATATGTTCTGCATGTAACGGCAATAGTCTGTCGAAAATGAGTATGGGGAGTACGGTAGACTATAATATAATAATGCGAATAATGCCACCATGGTATAGCTAAATAGTTGGTAAAGTAATACACACTGACCTGACCTACTCTCCGGTTGCAAGCAAAACAGCACGGTCGCGACGTTGTGGTACGGGATCGGGAACAGCGGCGCACAGCGGTGGCGGTTAAAAAATATATAATAAAATGGAAAACAAAAAAAAAATTGGTAGTGGTAAAAACAACAACAGCAACAACAAATTTTGTTATAGATATACAACTATGTATGTAAGTGCAATATGTTTGTAGAGTATGCTAGGAGTAAGTATGTCTATTGAGGCAAAGTCGACCGCACGGCGCGCACTTTTTGAAGTCTGGGTTGGGTCCTGCTGTGAATAGGAACTGGAACTGGAACCGGCCGGAACTGGTAGCCGCTGGCTGAGAAGCGGTGCGGCGGTGCGGCGGTGAAGCGGATGGGGCGGTTGGGGGAAAGGCTCACGCGATGAAGACAGCTCCTAGGCTGACGGACTGTTGCGTGTTTTGGAGCCAACAATTTTGATGTGATTGTTGTTAATACTGTTGTTGTTGTTATTGTTGTTGCTGTTATTGCTTGTATATGTTTTCTATTGTATTATATTATATGTGACTTGACAAAGCACAGACACTTAGATAACAGCTTCAGCTTACTGATATTGTTGTTGTTGTTGTTTATTATTGTTACTTAATGTTTATAGTTCGTCGAACTAGACGCTTCTCCACTTGAGGCGTAAGACAATGCATTATTAACTATAGCGTGTTACTCAAATTACCGTTCGAGAGCGAAGTGAGACAACCGCAATAAACGGTTTATTACTGCCTGATCCCAACTCAACGAGAGAGCAAGAGAGAGCGCTCCAAGCTTGACTTGGCTGAGCTTCGAACAACGCAATTTACAAGCAGCCCAGTGGGAAACGAAATCAGTTGAAGCGCATCGCAGAGAGCTGCACTCGAATTTTCGAATTCGAAAATCAAATATTTAATTTGCAGCATTAAATAGTTGACAAGAACATTTAACTGTCAGCAAACTTGATTTTAGTATGCGTCTGTTAATTAATGTGCGCCCCACATGCGTTCACACATGCATATTCAACACCTCTCGAACTGAGTAGCAAGCTGATATTTGAGAAAACATTCAACTTTTCTTTTTAATTCTGATCGAAACAATGATCTCAGAAGGTTATCATGCGACGATTCACAACAAATTGTTTGCAATACATATTATACTTGACGCAAATTACGAGAGTTCGGGCACAAAACTTTTGCATGCGTCAGCAAAGTTCGCAGTTGTTTCTAAATTACAACTATTTGTCAATTATTCGTTTGTTTTTGAGCTTTTTGTTATTGCAGCTTGAAATCAGTCAATGAAATCAGCTTAACAGCAAAACTGCAATTAATAAATTGCTAATTAGGCGGTTGTCAAAAAAATATAAAAAAAAAAACCCCCAAAGAACACGATATCATTATTATTATCAATGCCGATCGGATGCCGCTCGTGTCTCTCGCGTCACCGTCCTTGTCTCACACACGCTCAAGTTCAAAGTCAAATCAAATGGGAAAATTTACTAGATAGAAATATGTAAATAAATTTTATATTCCCGCGAAACAACAACAACAACAACAATAACAATGTATATTTTTGTATTTTAATTTTTTTTTTTCTATTTATATTCGGAAATGTTGTTGGCACTTTAGATGGAAGATGATTATTAACACACAATTAAAAAAAAATGTTGTGAAAAAAAAATGCACAAAAAACTTCATTAAACAAAAAATCTTGCCGACAATCGCGAAAAAATTCGTACTTTCTTTATTTAGTGTCTGTTTATTATTGTTTTTTTTTTTTTTGTTTTATTTTCTATTATTTTGTTTTTAAAGCTGCTTTAGAAATCACCGCAGTTTGCAACGTACGTCAAAATATGCGCCAAATATACGAGAGACAAAAACGAACGTAAATTCCGCTAGACACCTGACACTTTCGATGCTTCGCTTCGCACTGAGGCGCCAGGCAGAGCCACTGACTGCCAGCGGCCCCAAAAACCGGTCGCCATCGTCTTCGTCGCTAGTTTTGCTCGTGTGCGCCTGGTCGTGCTTCGTGCGCTAGTCGTGCGCTGGAAACACGAATGCCGCATTGACAGCCTGCCCCAACAATCTTCCTCCTCCCTCATCCGCTCCACCAATCTCTTGCTCTCCTTCTTGCTCTCTAACGTGCTCTGTCGCTCGGTGACGTTTTCAATGCCAAGCAAGCAGCTGTTCAGTGTTTGTTTGATTGTTTTTTTTTTGTTTTTGCAGCAGCAGCAGCAACAGCAGGCGCAGCAACTAACGGTCTTGCACCTGAAGCGCTGCCCTACAGTTGGACTTTCAGCACTTTCAATGTACTTTAAATTAAATCAAATATTTGAGACCCGTTTTGTACTTGTCATAGTTTTACTGGCTTATCTGTTCGCTAAAGATGCACAGTAATTATAAGATAAGCTCTTTCTCTCCATACATACATAAACCTATACACACTCGAGCATATGCTATTCTATATACATATGTATGTACATATATATATATGCATATACATATGTATAGCGCCGTACGAAAAACCCGGACAACCACTTTTGCTCAGTCTAAGACGGAGAATGATCGATATATTATATTATAAAAGGGTTTACTTTCAGGCTATATACGTAAAGACATTCGATACAATTTAGTGTACCCAACTGTAAATTAAATTAAACGGACAGAATTTATTCCTTTGATCTTAAAATAATAAATATGTATACGTTTCAATTAAGAGAAAAATCAGTGAGAAGGAAAACCTACATTCTTAAGCGTGTCAAGGATCGGTTCAAGGCCTTTTAAGGAAATTCAAAAATAGTTTCTGCATGCAGATGTAATCAAAAATATAATTTTGAATAGCATTCAAATAATTTAACATAATAAATCCTCTCCGGATTTTTTGTCCGCTACTGTACATATATCCCATTAATATAACCAAATGCGTAGTGCGCTGATATGATTAGAAAAACAAGCACAGAAGCTGGATTAAGATGGGAAAATATAATCGTATTTTAATATACATATGTATGAATACCTCTTTCTATTATATTATATTCATGACACTTGCTGATTTCCTGTTTCATGTGTACATGCCTATGTTTGTAAATAGCTATATAATTTGAAAAAATCGTCTGATTATAGTATTTACTACTCTTAGAAATTCTTAAAATATACATATACATTTTCTGAACAATTACAAGCCTTTCACCAAAACTAATATAGCCGTTGTCATGTGCATCACCTACACATAACCGGTTCGGCGCGCTTCATTCAAGCAATCCCAATGAAGTGAACCTCCCGCTGCACCTCTTGAATAACCGAGTGGTACCGTGTTCTGCATACTCATACGGACGTAGGACTCGCATGTGGCTTTGCTCAGTTTGGTTAAGTGTTGGTGAATCAATCGACCATTTCATTTTACGCTTTTTATTATTTATTTTAAAAATGGGTCCATTTCTTATTCTGTCAAATACTTAACTAAAATAAAAAAAAATTTGAAAAACAGACATATTTGCCTGCCCTGCCTGCTATACCCTTATTTACTGCCCATTTAGACTCTTATATTAAAAAGAAGGAAAATGTAATGTCAAGAGCAACTAAGATGAAGCGACAAAATGTAAACAAAAACCCTTAATCCATTCAAAAATATTTGTGGGAGTATTCCAGTCGGATACAGCGCCTATCGCGAAAAATCAGGATAGGCTGAATGTTACGTATTTAATTAATAAAAAATATTTTTATGAAAATGCATGACAAAGTTTTATTAGATTTTGCTCACGCAGTGAAATAAATAAAGAGCTCAAGAGATAGTTTCTAGTTGGATTAAAAATATAAGAGAAGTTATAAAGACCGTGAAGCTAAGACAACACCCATGCTTATCAATGGTTAGTTAACATTGCTGGATTTATAGGTAAAAGTCCAATGGCAAGCGAATATGAGAATCCTAGCTTAAGCTCAAGATCGAAGCTCAATTTTGTATCAAAAAGAAATCCGAAATATACCAGAATATGACAAGATTGAAATTATAAAGATACCATAATGAAACTGTGCAAGAAACTCTCAATCAAAATGCTTGATCAGCATAAAATCCATGTCAAATCATCCATGTCTGTCGGTCTGTCTGTATAAACAGATATCAGATCTCAGAGACTATACGAGTTTTGGTCTGATATATATTAAAAAATTATTCCAGCTCTCCCATTTCTTTAACATTTTTTTATATATTATAGTATATTATATTTTTTTAAATATATTTTTTATTAATATACATATTTTAGATCCAGAATGGAATTGCTTGTAATCTGTATATAATATACGAGAACCTAAATCCCAAGTTTGCTATGTCTAGCAATTAAAATTTTTCAATTTTAATGAAAATCCGGATCTCGAATTTGATATTTGTCTAAACTATGGAAATGGGGAGAGATATCGCGTTCATGGCCTGACCCACTTAGCTTCTCATCCTTATCAATAATGAATATGGTAGACACATTTGCTGTACACCAGTTCTTTTCCATCTTCATTGGGTGAAGATTATAGAAGAAATTCTGTTCACCCAACTACAAAGCTTATTCTTGTTAAGTCTAAATATAAGCTCTCATTCCGTATTTCTGTCACTCTCTCTCTCTCTCTCTCTCTATCTCTCTCTCTTTCATTCTTTTTCTCTCTTTCTCTCTCTCTCTTTCTCTCTGTCGCTCTGTCTTTCTCCTTCGCTCTTCAAGTTACTCCGTGTTCATTCCAAAGCTTTTGCCAACACCACAATTTTCAAGTTCAACATGTGCAACACATTTAATTTTAATCATACACTCATGGGCATTGTTTTGCTTGTCATTTTTTTATTTTTTGTTGCGATTAAATTTTATACGCGGCCTTTATTATACCCTGCAAACACAAGTCTGGTTGAGAGGCTGGATGTGCGAATGTATACTATATAACATATATAGCTGTATGATCTGATTGAACTTACAGACAGAAAGACATACACGAGTGAATGTTACTAATATTCAAGTTATTTACATATGCATATATTTAAGATTGTTTGTCATGACTGATTGATTGACTGACTGACTGACTGACTGACTGACTGACTGACTGACTGACTGACTGACTGCCCGGCTGATGGTCTGAACGACTGGTCGATTGACTGACTGAACTAACTGATTCATTGCCTAACTGACTGCCCGACTGATTAACTAAATTACTGAGTGACCATCAGCTCGACTGACTGATAGAATGATCGACTGATTGATTGATTGCCTGATTGCTTTACTGAGTGAATAGCTGGCTGACTGACTGAATGCCACTCTGACGGGTTGACGAATGCATGGCCTGACTGCTTTATAGACTGACTAGCGGGTATAACCCGGCCTTGCCCGTGGCACGTATGTTATAAAATCAATGTTCTCAAAAAAATTTGAAATGATTTTGAAACTGATCGGACGGTAAACAAATAACTTTCATACAAACGTTTTCCGCAAATTTACCACTGTTGCGAGTCGAATTTCCCAAATCGCTGAAAGACGCATTCATTACATTCTTATGTAGAGCTTTGAAAATAGGTTTGAAGCAAATCGGACACAATTTAAAACTTCGCACAACAAATCTTTGAGTCGCATTCCACCCGAAAAAGTTTGAATTCTGCGAAAAGTGTGAAACACGTATCAAATGATTTTTCTTATAGATCTCTGGAAATGAATTTGCGCGCGAAACGTCACCCACCAAATCTTTTACCTCCATTTCCACCAAGGAGGAATGGATTTTCCTAAAAGTGTGAAACACCCCTTAAATGAATTTGAACAAAGATCTTTGAAAATAAGTTTGAGGCCGATCCGATGGTAAGCAAAAAAGTTACATACAAACGTTTTTCGCGATTTTGCCACACTTGCGGGTGGAATTTCCCGAAACCCCATCTTAACGTGCACCTACATCACATAAGGTAGCTACAGTGAAAATTTCAGCTTCCTAGCTCTTACGGTTTGGGCTGTACGTTGATCACCAATCAGTCAGTCAGTCAGTCAGGACAAACAGTTTTATATATAGAGATTGGTGATTAAAGTATAGCCCAAACGAAGTTGAATCTTCCACTACAGGTATGTGATGTAATTTATGCACATTTAATTTTCGCACACAGGTGTGTCTGGTTGTAGGGAAACGGTTAAAGATCTTAGCAAAAATAAATTTGAGACGTGTTTCAAAACCCCTTAAATCGACTCAAGGGGGAACTCAATGGAATTACTTTAAATGAATTTAGATCAAGATCTATGCATTTATTCATTGAAATTGTTTTCCGAAAATCGACTTCAAGCTCAGTTTTTGTTAACTACATTTTAAAATACTGAATACGTGTTTCGTCGACTTTGGAACGTTCGAAAAAGGGAAGGAAATCTTTGCATTCCACCCGATTAACTTCACACTTTTCTCAGGTGAAAAGGTGATGTCTTAAATGTGAAGAACTAGTTTGTCTTAGTCAAATACGAAATAATTCCTAATATGTCTAGTTGGTAACTGGCTAGTCGACTACATTTTCTGTTTGTTTCTGTCAATGCTGTGTACAATAGGCATATGTTTTCATGCTTTTTATGCGACTTTTTCTTTGCCTATAATTCTATTATATGTATTTGTGCATACATCAAGAGATAACTGTCGCAGTAATGTAATGTAGTCTATTTGCGACAAATATGTATGCGCACACCCAAAATACTCGGACATTGTATGGCATACAATGGGAAAAATTGTTCGCATATTCATGACCGAATTACCCACATTCAGAGCCACACACACACAGACACTCACACATATATACACACACACAGAGAGAGAGAGACAGAGGGACACGCTTCAGTCACCATTTGTGGACAGCAGAACAAACAAAACCATTGAAGGCACGCAAATCTCAGCAATGACCAAAATATTTGCCAAAGTTCGTGGAGCGCACACAACAAGAAAAAAGA